CATCACAGTTATTAACGTCTACACCATCCCCAACCCTAAACCCAACCGTGTCAGTTATTAACGTCTACACTTTCCCCAACCCTAAACCCAACCATCCCAGTTATTAATGTCTACACCTTCCCCAACCCTAAACCCAACCATCACAGTTATTAACGTCTACACCTTCCCCAACCCTAAACCCAACCATCACAGGTATTAACGTTTACACCACCCCCAACCCTAAACCCAACCATCACAGTTATTAACGTCTACACCATCCCCAACCCTAAACCCAACCATCACAGTTATTAACGTCTACACCATCCCCAACCCTAAACCCAACCATCAAAGTTATTAACGTCTACACCTTCCCCAACCCTAAACCCAACCATCACAGTTATTAACGTCTACACCTTCCCCAACCCTAAACCCAACTATCACAGTTATTAACATCTACACCTTCCCCAACCCTAAACCCAACTATCACAGTTATTAACGTCTACACCTTCCCCAACCCTAAACCCAACCATCACAGTTATTAACGTCTACACCATCCCCAACCCTAAACCCAACCGTGTCAGTTATTAACGTCTACACTTTCCCCAACCCTAAACCCAACCATCCCAGTTATTAATGTCTACACCTTCCCCAACCCTAAACCCAACCATCACAGTTATTAACGTCTACACCTTCCCCAACCCTAAACCCAACCATCACAGGTATTAACGTTTACACCACCCCCAACCCTAAACCCAACCATCACAGTTATTAACGTCTACACCATCCCCAACCCTAAACCCAACCATCACAGTTATTAACGTATACACCATCCCCAACCCTAAACCCAACCATCACAGTTATTAACGTCTACACCATCCCCAACCCTAAACCCAACCATCCCAGTTATTAATGTCTACACCTTCCCCAACCCTAAACCCAACCATCACAGTTATTAACGTCTACACCATCCCCAACCCTAAACCCAACCATCACAGTTATTAACGTCTACACCATCCCCAACCCTAAACCCAACCATCACAGTTATTAACGTCTACACCATCCCCAACCCTAAACCCAACCATCACAGTTATTAACGTCTACACCTTCTCCAACCCTAAACCCAACCATCAAAGTTATTAACGTCTACACCATCCCCAACCCTAAACCCAACCATCACAGTTATTAACGTCTACACCTTCCCCAACCCTAAACCCAACTATCACAGTTATTAACGTCTACACCATCCCCAACCCTAAACGCAACCATCACAGTTATTAACGTCTACACCTTCCCCAACCCTAAACCCAACTATCACAGTTATTAACGTCTACACCTTCCCCAACCCTAAACCCAACTATCACAGTTATTAACGTCTACACCTTCCCCAACCCTAAACCCAACCATCACAGTTATTAACATCTACACCTTCCCCAACCCTAAACCCAACCGTGTCAGTTATTAACGTCTACACTTTCCCCAACCCTAAACCCAACCATCACAGTTTTTAACTTACACCTGCGAGTTTCAGAGGCTTTCATACTTGACGCGCTCGCCACTGTACTGTTATTTGCAACCACAAAGGGCGACGCTGAGTAGATTAACTGTCATGACAAAACGGATGAAGAAGTCTGGGAGTGGAGTTGCTAAATGAATAAATATAAAAATATATCAAATAAATTGGTTGTGGATAAATTTGGAGAAAACCCATAAAAACATTTGGTTCAATGGGATCTCGATAACTGCTAGGTATGCCTCTAACTTACTACAAGTTATGCCCCTTCATCTTATGCCCTCGTCTTGCAGTTCGCAGATACAGATACACTTGTACAAATGTGGGAACGGTGGGAGAACCAGCTCATTTGCATTTAAAAACACAGGCTACAGCTAGACTTTGTTTGAGCTCAAAATGGGCATATTCTGCATTGTATAATAAACAGTCGGATGGGTATTTTGAGCTGGACACATTCTAGAGAAACCAAAGACTTAAATCTTGTATAAAAAGGTAAATTGGGGCCCTTTAAACCATAATAAAGGATAAAATTGTGTATAAATCTTGTTTTGGACAAATACTCAAACTGGTATGCAGTAACAGTGTAATAGTCATTTTCGACTCATCCAACAGATGGAGCACTTCAGTGTTTGCGTCAGTCCTAGCGCGTTAATTTCCATGTTGGCTGTTTTAAGTTATCCAACAGTCAAGGGTCTTGTAATAGCCACTTGCGGGTGTCTTAATTACCATAACCCAGTTAATGGCAGGGATACAGGGACTGTAATGAGCAGACTGGAGAGGCTACTTTTGACACAGCTGCTCTAGACAGTGCTAAGAGTCTGACTTTACTGTGAAGGCGCTAATGCGGCTACACTACATGACTCACAATGACAGAGAAACGCTGGACAGACGCAGCTGAAACTGAAGACAAAAACACATTGTTGAAGAACTACAAGTATCACTTAACATCATCTCGTTCTACACAAGCTTAAGATATCATGTTAGCAAGCTAAGATTTCCCTGCTGAAAAGACCTGATTAGTGTGGATTTTCATGCTGGTTCAGGCTAGTTTATGCTGTCCATTCCTTATTTTCAGAAAATAGCATTGTATGAGAAGGGTTTAAATAACATAATGGGGACTTAATAAATTCCAAACAAGTGACTATTTTTTGCATTAACTGTCTCACCTTTGTCTTCAATTACAGTAGCAGTATTTGATTACAGTAGAATACCACAAATTCCTAATATACAGTAAGTTATTGTAAAAGAAAGTTTTAAAATGACCCACAATGCAGTTCATATTACAGTTGTAAACTGTAAAGGATGTATCTGGTATTTTACTGGCCATTTTTGCAGTTAATAACTATTATAATAACTAAAGTCTAATAGTGCAGAAGACCCACTAAAGTTTTTTAGTATGAGAATAGTTTTTTTTTCTATAGCAACAATTTGATTTAATAAGAATCATTTAATTAAATAGTAAACAAAATATTTTAAAGTACGCCTATTTTACCTCTTTTTCACGATTTAAGATAAGATTTTGTGTCTCCAGACTGTGTCTGTAATGTTTCAGCTAAAAACACTCATCAGATTATTTTTGTACCTTTTTAAATCTGGGGAATTTGAGCTATTAAGACATTGTAGCTGTTTTTGTTGCCTGTGCCTTTAATGAAAATGAGCTAGTTCTCGCCCACCGTTTGCCAAGTGTGTGTCAGAGCTGTAGCCTTTACATAGATAAACAGCACAGTGACAGACAAGAATGCAGCAGATCTCCCTTACTAAAGTAAGAACTTCCCTACTGTTATTTATTATATTTGCAACAACGAGTCACACACAATGTTGCTATAAAGTTCATGCACACATACACACACACACACACACACACACGTTTAGATTTGCACGGTAAATATGACAGAATACACAATAATATCCACTGCTGTATGGACGTCCGTTATATTATTGTACAAAGTAAACCTGATTTAACGTTCACAATTCAGGATTGAAGTTTCTTTTTTATAATTTGTCACCTTAGAATTATAAGGTTCTATAAGACAATTTTGTCAAAATTGACATATTCTTTTTAAATGATAACTTATTTACATTGTGGGATGCTTTTTATAAGTTGTTTGCATTTTAAGACTTTAAGACACATACTGTTTGCTATGGAATGCAAAAACTTTGAAGCTCAATATCTCAAAATCATTCAGAACGCAGATAGAACCTTATAATTCTAAGGTGACGAATGTACTTTTAATTGAATTACATAGTGATTTTACTGTCATTATTACAAACATGCACTGTTTTAGAAACGTTTAAAATTTATAAAACTCATTATTGAGGTGCAGACGATCACAAAGGGTTAAACGGATCTTTTAATCCCAGTTGCTTTGTGCACGTACTCTCCTGTCAATCAATTTGGTGGGCGGGGAAAACCGGACTCCTACTTCACGTTGTGGTGAGCCTTTAAATGGGAGGGATTTGGATCCTGTTTTAGTCAAGAAATAAAAAAAGAGACTTATTGTATATCTATTACTCCAATATGACTGTGGACATACTATACCTGCACGCACAGTTCTGTCCAAACAGCTTACAAAAGATGATTTTCAGCATAGGTCCCCTTCAAGGATCAAAGTGCAAATTCCCCTAAAAACAAATTAATTTGTTTTAAATAAAACAAAATTATTCTAGGTTTAATGTACATGAAATTAAACCATAACTTTACAATTCCTTTTGTCAGCAAAGCATTTTTAATCTTATAAAATAAAACAAAAGTTTGTCATTACTTATTTATTATTCTTTAGTACATTTTAATAAAAAAAGTATGTAGTTTCATTTTTTTTATATGTTTTGGTTCTATCTGTTTCACCCATATTAATACATTTAATTTCATGAAAGTTTCTTGATACATAGAAATGGACTCTTTACTTTCATTTCACATCTACACATATTAAATCCTAAATTAAATTTGATGTCAATGCCAAAATTGAGTGTCTCATCTTTGTCCCACATGCAGGATTTTTAAATAAATGCTGCTTTTATTGATTTGCTTAAAAAAATGTATATATAAAAAAGACAACGAACATGATATCAAAAAATGAAATTATAAAAGCAATCATTTCAAAGACGGTGAAACAAATTAATTAGTTGCTTCAGAGATATTCAATGATTGACATTGCTTTTTTGCCTTGTGCTTTTACAGTGACAGAAGTAAAGAGGAATCACACCAGAGACCACATGCTGGCTCTGTTTTCTTTCCTCCTTTTTTTTTTCTCTGAAAGCATCACATCCTGCCTTTTTTTACTTCTGGATTAGGAGATAAGCGCGGTCAAAAGATCCACTTTGAGAGCAAATGCAATCAGGATTATGATTGTGTTGTGCGGTCCTGAATACAAATCAAGTGTCATGATTATAATTCAGGTCCCATTCATGCATCTGCATGCTAAGTGAAGTTTATTCATAAACTAATTTCGAGAGGATCACGTGCTTATGATTTATCACGTCCAGTCTCGCATTTGCTAATCACTAATCTTCCAATCATACGAGCCCTAAGGCACCATAAATAGTCTAAGTTTCCAGTTCACTTTATCTTCGTTTGGAAGACCGCTCAGCCTCAGACTGTGCTCCAGCTATCCAATTATAGCCGCTCATCTCCAAAACAGCAACTTCTACAAACAGATCCAGCATTTATTCATCATCATCAACATCATTATCATCCGCAACTGCTACCGCTATCTTCTATTCCCTCCAACAATCAATATCTCCAACAAAACAAGCCATCATGAACAACGAGAACATCAACGAGCAAGCTAACAACCAGCCAGACCTTCTCAACTCTCCCTCCGAAAACCAACCTCTCCCCGCTCCGCCTGGCTCTCAACCCGAACCCGAGGCCGTCACAAGAGGCCGACGCATGACACGCTCCACCGCTACTAGGTCCCGTCAAAACTTATCACCAACGCAATCCACTCCAAGGCAACAAATCTCTTCACCTACCTCATCTTATATCTCCGCAACCTCCTCAGTCATCCATCCAAGTAGAATCACCGTATCAGAAATCAGGAACAAGCTCGCCATCCTCGGAATCAACGCTCCCAAAAATCTCAAAAAACCGGAACTCCTTAAACTTTACAAAAACGCAACATCGGACTCCCTTCCCTCTGCAAGTCCTCCTCCAAGATCAGCCGCTCAGGAAAATCCGATTCGATTCACTCCATACCCGCAAGCCTCCCGTTCACAACCAGGAAAGAAGAAGTCAAAACAAAAACACACAGCAAGCCACTCCCACGCAAGATCGCAACACCAGGAAACCCAGCCGCCTCCGATGACGTCACTCATTCTCCCACAGCAGGACTCCATTCAAGAGAACCCAGCCTCTCTCCCTCTCCCTCTAACTCTTTCTACCCCCTTCTCCTGGCCCCCCGCCCCCTCTAGCTCTCTCATTAGCCCTCATCTCCCTTCTACCTCCAATGCTCAGTTTCATCCTGCTATTTCTGCTCCCCCTGCTCTTCCTCCAAATCAATCCTCTTCTTTCCCCCCCCCCTCCTCTTCCGCTCCCCCCCCTCCCTCCCAAAACCTGCCTTTTGCATCTCAAAATCCTCCAATCAATATTCCATCTTTTTCTTCTTCACTTCCCCTCGCTCACTCTAACTCTAACCCTACCTGCTCCTTTTCTATTCCTAATCAAGTTTCTTCTACACGCCCCCCTTTCACTCTGTCATCTGCCACGCCCCTCCCACCGCCGAATAACGCTCTAGCTATGGAACCTCCACCCATCTCTAATTCAGCCCGCAACCTAATCCTCTCAGGTGCGGATATTGACCTCATTTCACTCCTCTCACCTATAGCACCCCCTGCGGCAGAACGCCAGGTTGATTGCGGCGAATTTTCAGTATCCCTCAAATCTTCAGTTAATAATCAGTCCCGCACCCTAACCTTAGCCGAATTTTGCATAGCCTTTTCAAGATTCACCGACACAATTTGTTCAGTATATCCCCATAGGAGACGCGAGCTTAACGATTACATGGCAATTATTGCCGAGCTCGCGTTATCCTATGGGGGCACCCACTTTTTCACTTACCACAAGCTATTCTCCGCTAAATGCGCTCTGCGCGTTACCCAGTGGAATCAGTGCCCCTACTGGGGGGCTTTGGACACTGAGCTCCACAACAGGGTATTTTTGGGTTGCCGCAATCTAACCTGTGCTGTCTGTCGCTCCTGTCTGCACCCCACTACCTCCTGTCCTTTAGTTAACCCTCTTCCTGATCCAACTCAACCTCCTTCTAAATCTACCAGCTACGTTCCTAACCCTTCCAATCGTAACATTCCTTCTATTTTTTCTATCCCTAATAAACCCTCTCTTCCTAGCCGCGACATCTGCCAAAACTTCAACTTGGGTAGATGTCATAGAATGCCATGCCGATACCTTCACCTGTGCTCCTACTGCGGCGGCGCCCACGCTAAGATAATCTGCCAAATCCTAAGAGCTAATAATAAAAAATCAAAAAATTATTTGTCGACTCCTGTGAATATTTCTAACCTTGCTCGGGAACTAAAGTCTCACCCTGACACTAACTTTTCTGATTTTCTCATTGCAGGTCTAACCCACGGATTCCACCCAGGTGTTGCAGCTCTCCCTTCTCTTAATTTAATCTGTCCCAACCTGCAGTCAGCGACCTCCGAACCCGAAACAGTCGATTATCTTATTAAAAAAGAAATCGACAACAAATTTATGATCGGACCTTTTAAGGCTCCTCCATTCAATATTTCACGCATTAGCCCTATTGGTGTCGCAACACGAAAATTTTCCGGCAAAAAACGCCTCATAGTCGACCTTTCGTCCCCACACAATTCCTCTTTCCCTAGCATTAACAGCACGATTCCACTAGAAGAATATACGCTCAACTATCACGACATTGATCAAGCAATCTCTCTCATTAAAATAGCCGGCCACAACGCCTGGCTAGCCAAAGTAGACATCTCTTCTGCCTTTAAAATCATGCCAATCCACCCAGACTTCTGGCACCTTTTTGGCATTTATTGGCGCAACCAATTCTATTTTGCAGTCCGACTAACCTTCGGATGCAAAAGCAGCCCAAAAATATTTGACATGATGTCAGAAGCATTATGCTGGATTCTATCCAATAATTACGGAATTCCATACCTCATCCACCTTCTAGACGATTTTCTCATTATTTCTCCCCCGTCATCTCCTCCAGCCAAACACCTAGCGATCACCCAACAAGTTTTCGCTGATCTCGGAATTCCTCTAGCAGAGGAAAAAACTTCAGGTCCCAGTACTTCAATCGAATTTCTGGGCATTAATCTAGACTCGCACAAATTTCAAGCATCCCTTCCCAAAGAGAAGATCGATCGGATCATTTCTCTATCCCAAATCTTCCTCGAAAAACAGATGTGCACAAAACGAGAACTCCTATCAATTCTTGGCCATCTAAATTTCGCTATGCGCATCATTCCACAGGGCCGCCCCTTTATTTCACACCTCCTTCAACTATCCACCACAGTTCAAGGTTTAGAAGAAATAATTATTCTCTCTAAACCAAGTCGCGACGAACTCTGCTTATGGATCTCTTTCCTTAAGCAATGGAACGGCTGTTCCTTTTTCTATAGCGACTTAACAACTTCCCCCATCGACATTAACCTATACACAGATGCTGCCCCCTCTATTGGTTTCGGCGGCTACTACAAAGGACACTGGTTTGCCTCAACATGGCCACCCCAATTCAATTCCATTCCAAAAGACCAATGTTCTTCAGCCCTATTCGAACTCTACCCCATTGTCGCAGCAGCCATCTTGTGGGGGGACGAATGGTCTACTTTTAGCATTCTCATTCACTGCGATAACGAAGCCACAGTGCATTGCATCAACAAAAGGCGCTCCCACTCCCAAGCACTTATGCCATTTTTAAGACGCCTTATCTGGATTTCTGCTAAAAAACAATTTATCTTGATTGCTGAACATGTACCTGGTTGCAAAAACCAAATTGCTGACTCTCTCTCTCGCTTCTCTCTACAGAAATTCTGGCAACTGGCCCCGGAAGCAGACCCTCACCCAACGCCTGTACCTCCGTATTCAGAAACGATATTGCCATAAACCACCCACTTCATAATCTTCACCAAACTTCTCTATCTCTCATCCTGCAAGCAATAGCTCCTAGAACCCTCAATGCATACCTCACAGCATGGAATTCGTTCAAACAATTCCATATTATACACCAACTTCCTTTTCCTGATTTTTCTCTCCTCTCTATCACTTCCTTTATATCCCACCTTCACACCGCAAATCATCTACAAGCCAGTTCAATAAAGAGCTACCTTAGCGGGATCCAGTTCTTTCACAAATTAATCCATGGGTCTCCTTCCGACGCCATCACAAATTCGCAAACCTCCCTTCTTATCAAGGGTATTCAGAAAAACCACCCCACCAGCCCTGATGCCAGACAACCCATCACACTCAAAATCCTTACCTCATGCATCTACACCCTTCGCAAAGGGTATATTTCCTCCCATACAGCCCGCACCTTAGATGCTATGTTTAATCTAGCATTTTTCGGGTTTCTTAGATGTTCCGAATTAACAGTTACATCTAAATTTAACCCTCTACTCCACCCCACTATCTCAGATCTAGCTTTGCAAGATAAGGAAACCATCTCTTTCCTTATCAAACAAAGCAAAACAGATCAAACCCAGAAAGGACACTCTATCCTCATTTTCGACATACCTTCTCCTACTCGCCCATTCCAAACCCTCCTAGCCTATCTTAATCTAAGAAAATCTCAAGAAGCTAACCCTATGGCCCCGCTTTTTACTGACGACGCTAACCGTCCAGTTTCTCGATTCTGGTTCCAAAAACACATTAAAGAAATTCTTCGCCTATCAGGTTTTTCCCCAGAGCCTTTTTCCAGCCACTCATTCAGGATTGGCGCAGCCACTACAGCAGCCTCTAACGGGCTCTCACACAATCAGATCCAGACCCTTGGTCGCTGGTCTTCTGAAGCTTTTAAATCTTACATACGCCTCAGTAAATACCACCTCAAAGAAGCACAAAAGGCTCTAACCAACCCCCAAGCAACTTCCCACAAGGCTCCAACTCACAAAGGTACCTAATAGAGCCTCAATTCTCGCTAGAGTCATCCTAACCAAACTCAGCAGAAGCCTAATCGTCCAACAATGGCACCCCTACAGGTTTTGCCAAGGACGCCCCTAATGGCCATTACAGTTAGCATTCCAGCAACCTCAATTTGTTATTCAAACTCGGACTTCCACGAGGTCGCTCCGAGCTCCAACTCTCGCAAGAGTTATACAAATCCTCTCTTCCACTCACAGATATCTATGTTTTCCTATCTACACCCTACCCTCAAGCTCTAACCTCCGCAGAGGTCACTCCTATCTACACCCTTCCCTCAAGCTCAAACCTCCGCAGAGGTTACTCCTATCTACACCCTACCCTCAAGCTCAAACCTCCGCAGAGGTCACTCCTATCTACACCCTACCTTCAAGCTCAAACCTCCGCAGAGGTCGCTCCTATCTACACCCTACCCTCAAGCTCAAACCTCCGCAGAGGTCACTCCTATCTACATCCTACCTTCAAGCCCAAACCTCCGCAGAGGTCGCTCCTATCTACACCCTACCCTCAAGCTCTAACCTCCGCAGAGGTCACTCCTATCTACACCCTATCCTCAAGCTCAAACCTCCGCAGAGGTCACTCCTATCTACACCCTACTTTCAAGCTCAAACCTCCGCAGAGGTCGCTCCTATCTACTCCCTACCCTCAAGCTCTAACCTCCGCAGAGGTCACTCCTATCTACACCCTATCCTCAAGCTCAAACCTCCGCAGAGGTCACTCCTATCTATACCCTACCTTCAAACTCAAACCTCCGCAGAGGTCGCTCCTATCTACACCCTACCTTCAAGCTCAAACCTCCGCAGAGGTCACTCCTATCTATACCCTACCTTCAAGCTCAAACCTCCGCAGAGGTCGCTCCTATCTACACCCTACCTTCAAGCTCAAACCTCCGCAGAGGTCGCTCCTATCTACACCCTACCCTCAAGCTCTAACCTCCGCAGAGGTCACTCCTATCTACACCCTATCCTCAAGCTCAAACCTCCGCAGAGGTCACTCCTATCTACACCCTACTTTCAAGCTCAAACCTCCGCAGAGGTCGCTCCTATCTACTCCCTACCCTCAAGCTCTAACCTCCGCAGAGGTCACTCCTATCTACACCCTATCCTCAAGCTCAAACCTCCGCAGAGGTCACTCCTATCTATACCCTACCTTCAAACTCAAACCTCCGCAGAGGTCGCTCCTATCTACACCCTACCTTCAAGCTCAAACCTCCGCAGAGGTCGCTCCTATCTTCAAGCTCAAACCTCCGCAGAGGTCACTCCTATCTATACCCTACCTTCAAGCTCAAACCTCCGCAGAGGTCGCTCCTATCTACACCCTACCTTCAAGCTCAAACCTCCGCAGAGGTCGCTCCTATCTACACCCTACCTTCAAGCTCAAACCTCCGCAGAGGTCGCTCCTATCTACACCCTACCTTCAAGCTCAAACCTCCGCAGAGGTCGCTCCTATCTACTCCCTACCCTCAAGCTCTAACCTCCGCAGAGGTCACTCCTATCTACACCCTACCCTCAAGCTCTAACCTCCGCAGAGGCCGCTCTAAACTCAAACTCTCACAAAGCTCCATCTTTCGTAAGAGCTACTCTCCTCCACTCTCTGCTCCATACCTTCACTCTACTCTGGCCCCCGCAGGGGTCACTTAGAGCTCCAACTCCTACAAGATTCTCTCAAAGTTCTCTTTCACTGCTTCAAACCACCTATTCTCCCCTTCTTCTTAACCCCGAAAACCATGACCCCCGCAGGGGTTCCTTCAAACTCTAACTCCAGCAAGAGTTATTAGAATCCTCTTTTCACCCTTATTAATCCTATCTAATTAATGCCCATGCATTTAACCTCTTTTCTTCTACTATATCCAGCAGCCGGATATAGCTCTAAATTTCCTGCCTTTTGGGGGGTTTTTTCTTCGAATACGCGGCTGCTGTCCCGAGCGATTAATTCTGCATTTTGGGGAGTTCTGAGATCCACCGAGCTCAGGCTCCCTTCTTGCTCTGCCAACGGGAGGAAGCCCCGGGCTCGAGGAGCCCTTGAGCTCGGGGCTCTCTCCCGGGACAGCATGCCAAATAAGCTTTGTAAATCATCAGCTAAGTGTGAACTCTTGAAGTGAAGTTTATTCATAAACTAATTTCGAGAGGATCACGTGCTTATGATTTATCACGTCCAGTCTCGCATTTGCTAATCACTAATCTTCCAATCATACGAGCCCTAAGGCACCATAAATAGTCTAAGTTTCCAGTTCACTTTATCTTCGTTTGGAAGAAACCCCCCTCCTCCCCTATTCTCCTCCTTTACCTGTAATTGGGCGGCACGGCGGTCCAGTGGTTAGCACTGTGAACCACACAGCAAGAATACTGCCGGTCCTAGTTCGATAGGACCGGTGAGTGTTTCTGTGGGGAGTTTGTATGTCCTTCCCGTGTCCGCGTGGGTTTTCCCCGGGCTCTCCGGTTTCCTCCCACCATCCAAAGACATTCAACATACTTAACAATCAAGCTGGTCTAATTCCTTACGTTCCCTTAGCTACAGCGGCAGGGGAGTTCTGAGATCCACCGAGCTCAGGCTCCCTTCTTGCTCTGCCAACGGGAGGAAGCCCCGGGCTCGAGGAGCCCTTGAGCTCGGGGCTCTCTCCCGGGACAGCATGCCAAATAAGCTTTGTAAATCATCAGCTAAGTGTGAACTCTTGAAACCTCTTTTACGGCGAAAAAAGTGGCACAACCTTGATTTGGGATATCATTTATGAACCTTTTTCATAACACGCAAGGCATTAGCTCTAGTTTTGGTGGAGAAAAAAAAACTTAGGCTTATATGGGATTATGCATTTTAGTTGTGTAGAGCTTCAGTGGCAGGTTATGGATTGGATTATGATTTGACAGGAAGAGACAGAGGTACAGATTAGTATGACCTCAATTTTCACTCACACATGCACTCAATATGGGATTGAATTTCAGATCAGGTGCTAAACCGACGGCGTTGAATGAAAACAGTGGTGTCTGTTGTATTTCTAAGATCTCTCAAGTTTGCCAGGCCAACTTTCTCCATCCTTATTATTTTCAAGGCAATTTCCAAAGCATTTTGTGGAACCAGAACCGTAAGAAATATGTTCCCCGGAGAAAAAGAAAATTGGTTTCCCATCAGCTCTCAATAAATGGTCGTTCTCCATTTTACAGCAACCCAGCGTGAGTCCAGTGAAATGGCTGCTGAACGGATTACTGCATTGTGTCGAAAAAAGGACAGCATATAAACCTTGTGACGTCACTTTTGGTGTAAGCTTGGATTGAGTGAAAGTGGTTTTATGAATCGAAGCTGTGCTGTAACTCTTCTCCAGTCAGGCTTCACAGTTGACTACAAGTGTGTTTTATTGTTCTATAAAGCTGGTTTGCCGGGACAACCACTGTTCTCCTCTTGCACTCACGTCTTTCACAAAGCTAATGCTTTGAAACGCGCTGTAGGAAAACTCGTATTTAATTTCTATTGAATTGAAGGATATTGTGTGCATGAATAACATTCGCTGCAGTGCTGAGGAAACAATTGGATGTTTTATTGTTAGAAACCATTCTCTGTACAAAAGAAAAGGGATATACTGAAACATTCAAACATGTGAGCAGCAACTATGCAGTATTTTACATTAGAAGAAATATAGTCTATATATAGTCCACTATAATTTATGTACAGTCCTAAAAAAGTATCAATGCTGGTTTGGTGCGGACAGTAAATTTAAATAATTGTAGTCAGAACATTTACAATTTAAAAAATTCTGATTTTCTTCTCATGTCTTAACTGTAAAATCAGAACTTACTGAAAAACATGAGAATTGCGAGATGACAACATAAATCTTTATAATAAATGTGATAAATGTGAGAACTGCCCAATTTAAAGACAATTCTTCGAACAAATCTTACAATTGTGATATCTAGCTATCTGTCTGTCTGTCTATCTGTCTTTCTGTCTGTCTGTCTGTCTGTCTATCTATCCATATATATATATATATATATATATATATATATATATATATATATATATATATTATTATAGAATTATTAACCTCCCTGAATTATTAGCCCCCTTTAATTTAATCGTTTTGTTTAATTAATAGTAATTTAATAGTTTATTTTTCCCCTAATTTCTAACAGAGAGAAGATGTTTTAAGCACATTTCTAAACCTAATAGTTTTAATAACTCATATCTAATAACTGATTTATTTTATCTTTGTCATAATGACAATAAATAATATTTTACTAGATATTTTCATGACACTTCTATACAGCTTAAAGTGGCATTTAAAGGCTTAACTAGGTTAATTAGGTTATATATTGTATTTTCTGGTGAAATTGTAAATATTGCAATATTTATTGCAGAAAAACAAAATATCTCAGTGCCAGATTTTTCTACTATCGTGCAGCCCTAATATATTTATATACACACGCAAATATGTGCTTTTTTACATTAGAACAAAACCTTTAAGTCAAATTTGTCAGGGGTATGAGTAATTTTAGCCTTATTTGTATATATAACGTTTTCAGGGAGTGTCTGGTTAAAATGGCTCTTTATCAGTTATGCTCACCTTCTAAAATCACTCTTGGAGTTGAGTCGGTTGATTGATGGAACACTGTGTGCATATGTAGCTTGTGTACAGTAGTGTACACAGTAAAAAATGAAAATAAAAATCCACACAATTGCTTCATGTTGTCCCAACACAAATCGATTTAGTTCATTATTTTTACAAATGTAAGTGTATTGAACATAAAACCGTTTTGTTGTACTTGTCCCCCAAAAAACTTGAAGAATTGACCCTTCGCTAAGCCCTGTCTTTATTCCTTTTTTCGCTCGATATTGTGAGTAAGGCTCAGTTTAAGCCTTCGCCATAACGTTAGTAACTTAGTCATACTAGCGAGTAGATCATGATGACATGAGTAATTGATCCGAAAAACACGAATCTGCGAATCTGTTGCTAACTTTACTGAACTTCATATTTCCCTCTGTTTCAAGCTACGAATATTTGAAATTACAAATCAACAGAACAAAAGAAGAGATATGATCACAAACTGAGCAGCTGTAATCAATATACTTTACCCACAGCTGTTTTTCAGTCATTTATAAAGAGCACACAAACATACTGACAGTAATAGGTAACTTACTGTACACTGTTATGGGCCAATGATGCTAATATTCGGCACAGATCCATCAGTTTCCCCTTTCTGGCTGTTCTTTCTATGAATGAACTATGTAAAAGCACTGTCCATGCATGTTTCCTTGTCGGTTAGTAATGCTATA